CCGCGTGCGTCGCCGAATGTCTGTGGACGCCGCACCGCCAGCCGGGTAGCGCGATCGGACACCGCAGCGCGGGAGGGACAAGCAGCAGGAGAGGCGCGCCAGCAGGGGCGGAGACAGGCCAGCCTAGCTGGGGGACAAAAGAGATGAGGGGGTGTGCGGGATCAAGAGCGGTAGACGCAGCACTCTCCTACCGGCCGTTGATGGGCCGGAGACGATCACTGCGGCCAGAGCGGCGCGGGCCATTTTGGTCTCCTGGCGGGGGAAGCGGGGGGGGGGGGGGGGGGGGTGGCGCCGTCTGGACTCGCGTCGGTTTTGTCCGAAAGGGAGACGCCGTAAATAGCGCGCGGCAGGGGTGCGGTGGCCGACAGGGCCGGCAGCAAGGGTGAGGCTGTGCGTGTCGGCTAACGGGTCAGGAGAACCCCTCGCCGCAAGCTGCGCGACGCCGTCAGACCCCTCAGCGCGCTGGGGGACGGGCGGGGCAGCGGGGCCCTGGCTCGTTGAGTAGTGTCTAAGTACGTGCGCAATGGTTCGTACGCATGACGTACGTAGGGTGCGTAATGCGTATTTACATAAACGTATATATTCGTATATATATATATATATATATATATATATAATATATATATATATATATATATATATTATAATTTGGTTTGAGAAAAATACGCACACGAAGGTTAGTGAGCACCACGGACAGTTCTCAAATTTCACTGAAATTTGGTTTCCGAACACGATCTGGGTAAAAATTCGATTAAATAATTTATTTTTCTATTCGGCGCATGACCAAATGATGCTCTCGGGCAATGTTAGCCAGGGTGGAGGCAGTAGGTGCAAAAAGTTGACTGCATGCAAAGGGACTGCACCGAATTTCGTCAGAGGCGAGGTCATCGACAGAGACGTCGTCATGCTGAGAGATAAAGGAAGGGGGAAGGGGGGGGGGGTACAACAAACTCTGCAGGTGATGAAACTCTGTATAAGTCTTGCGTGCGTTCCAGCGCCAGACGAACTTTGGCCCTAACGAACGTTTCCGTAAATCTGTGCGTGTTTACATCAGGCATCGAAATACAGACCTTTGCTGACATCTTCTGTCGAATAAAAGCTATCCTTAAATGCTAAATTCGCACCTAAACGGTTGAGTTAAAACACTTGGTTACCTTTTCTTCGCGAGCTTTTGCGCATATGAACAATTCGTTTCGATCTTTTCCTGGTTAACATTTTACCATGCGATTTTTGTCCATGCGTACTTTTGCCATTACCAGCTTTTATGTTACGAACTTTGTACCCTACGTACCTCATCCTGACCAGCATTAGGCAAACGTACTTGATCCTACAAACCATTGCCATTCGTACATTTTTACAAGCACTTTTGTCCGCGCCCCCCCCCCCCCCCCTGACCTGAGCCACCTAGCCCAAGTCCTACAGTCCTCTCTCTGGAGTCCTGGAACACATTGTCATTTATCTACTGTCAGTTCACACAGCCCACAGTCCACATCCGCACGTCCATTTTCCATCCCGGGGTGTTGCAAGCGGCATTCCACTGTAGCGGCGGAAGCCCCGGGCCGCAGCCGCAGTCAGCTGGCGTTCGTGGCGTCAGCTGGCCGACGGAGGTCTTGCCAGCCTTCCGGCGCGCCAGCCGCTGAGACCCCGCACAATCTGACAAAAAGCTCCTGACATTCCGTGACGTCACCACACGTATTCGTGACGTCCGCTCTCAAAATAGGGCCGGCAGGTGAAGCCCAGGCGGCGATCTGGGATGCGGCTGCCGCCTGCGTACCACATGAGCGCCCGTGCGTGCTAGAATGCCAGATGAGATAGCGAGCGGCGGCCGCTCACTTCCGGATCGCTCCAATCGCGCTGCAGGCAGCGCCTAACATGGCGCGAACCAGACGGTGGCGCAAGCTTGCGTGTTCTTTTGGCTCGACGAACAGGGAGTGGCGAGAGAACAAAGATGCAACCTTGACGCCCCCTCGGTCTGAATCACATTATCGTCGTTCGCTGCCTTTCTCGAGTGCCGAGTCGCCGACTGCATGCAAGTCCTTATACCGGCGAGAGAAAGTCCTCGCCAGAGGCTAAGGCACATACGTCATTCGGAGGTGCTGGACGAGATACAGCGCTTACATGATGAGGGGACATATTCTGCTGACGTTGCATGATGTAGCCTACCTACTGATGACTGTCGAAGGCAGACACCCGCTTGGCACTGTTGCTCCCGTTTGGTGAGGGAGCTTTCACTACAGCAGATCGTGAAGTCGAAACATCCAGGTTGTCCTTTCCGTGTCGCAGCCTGGAATGCCCGGTGCCTGGCCTTGACATGCTCGCCCAAAATACGGCACTGCTATCAAAACTTGCATTGATTCACCAGCTGCACCTTGAGGACTTCAGCTAGTTTGTTGGCTGTGAATAATTCACGTTTGGTTGGCAGTGACGGGGCAAGGATCAACGTGGTCGTCATTCCAATGTTACACCAGGGTCCTGGGCTTATAAATTACATTCATGAAAGTAAAGTAAAGCCAAAAAGGTTTAACCAAAGTGAGGTTAGAGTCGAATACTGCGCTCGCACCTGTCGGGCTGAACACACCGTCGTGCCAGAGAGCGATGCTATTGCTGGCTGCTCAGTGATGCCTGCTTTACGACCAAGCATTTGCGGTTCCTGGATGCAGACTGAATGCCGAAAAGCGCATAAAAACCGTGCTGCAGCTTCATGACATGCGTGATGCTGCGATTCACGTCCATACATTTGAAGCAGTTGGCCGGAGCAACGGTTCGGACACTGGGCTACGCAGGGGTTTTTAGGAGCCTTGGTGACTTCACAAAAGAGGCTGGTGATGGTGACAGGAGACACGGATGGGGAGGGGACCTCGAGAAGATTGTGGTGGTGGATGCGAAGCTATATGTGGTGTTCAAGTGTGGGAAACGCCACATGCTTATCAACGTGCGTATTCATTGGACAGCATACATGACAGAACCATACAGTCATACAGACATGTGTAGGGAGCGTATGAGATAGGAGCATAGTCTTATGTGATGGCTGTAGCCGCAGTGTATATTCATGCATTCTGTTCCTCGTGTCAAACGACGCCCATTGCTCGAATGTGGATCTTTCCGGTTTAGGTCATTCGCTGTAACAGCATAGTGACAGGGAACTTGTGAATAAAGGCACATTTGAGCATGCGTACTGTATGTTTATGAGCCTTTATTCTGAACAACTGTAAAACGGATCGAATCATGAAAAGCTCTGTAGCAGGCAATGGCTGAATATCCTGCCTGACTTTGATACACGTCGTGTTGTTTCAAACTTCTACTATAGAAGACAGCTATCCGGCAGTTCTGTGCCCAGCGCAGCAAATGGAACGCACGCATTTTGTCGGTAGCGCATATCATGTCTGTCATGGCGTTCGGTCTACTGGAAAGAGTAGGATAAAGCGGGGTAAAGTATACGCATACTGGATCCTTCATACCAGCATCACTTCTTCGCATTGTCAGCTTTGCTTTAGACGAGCATTAAAGCCTGCCTTTTTCTTTCACAATGCTCGTAGCTTTCACTGCGTTCTTTCTAAACGTTTCGAAATTGCCTCCTTGCTGAGGATTCCAAAGGCTGTCTCACCCTTACCTGACTGCCTCTGTGCAGAAGGCCTAAACAGGCAGCTCGATGCACTTCACCCAAGAGTGAAACGCGCAGAGCTGGACGCTTCGTGCGAGCTAAGCAATAAGCAGCAAAAGAAAAAAGGAATGGAGAAAGTGCCGATGTCCACTATTTGTATATGCATGATAGAAGTGTACCGAGAATACGTGGAGTGCAAAGCATACATGACTCGATTTTTCGCCGCAAAAATTATGATGCAAGAACTCCTAATACACTTACTTCTGCACGACAAAGCATGTATGCAACATCACTTCTACGCAGCAAAACTTCTAGGCTGCGCGACGATTTTCACTGACGGCTCTTGACTTAGATCTCATTCTCTCGCTCTCCCCCTCTCTCTTTCTCTCTCTTTGCTGTTACCAATCTAGTATTTGATCATACTGGATCCTTCATAGTCTTGCGATAGGTTGTGACCGCCTGGAAGAGCGTCTCACCGTCGGGGTTCCCGCAGCGGTTTCAGACTCTCGATGCTTCTGGATGCCACGGCCCCTAACCTTAGCTTAGTCATCCACCGACTCATTGTCCATTTCATCGCAGGCAGGAGTTTTCTGTCTGCCTTTGGCCTACGCCTGCGACCTCGCTCGTCGTGACATTTGAGTCTTAAGTTTCCGCCAGTATCGATGGTAGACTTGAGATGAAATGGGGATGTCCGACGTGGAATAAGGCTGTTGTTCTTAGAACCGCTGCATGTTTCACGTTATAATGTGAATCTCGGCCGCTCTGTTGGCCCGGCTAATCTCACTCGAGTTCCTCTCGTCATTGCCTTTGTCCGACTCCTCCCAGCTACATTTTCTACATCATCTTGGATCACTTTGGCTTTTACAGTGGGTGGGGTCCGAGGATAACATTGAGTTTCTGTATGATGGTGTTGTCCATAAACTGCCGTACACACATCTTGCCATTTTCCAAGTGCTTTACGCCCTTGCTACGCACTGATTCACGTTCAGCACGAGCATGCGTAACGTAATTTATGGGCGTAATGATGACTCGGAGTTCCTTGGCAACCAGCATGGCATTTTAAAGTATACCTAGTACAGCCAACAAAACAGTAAAATTCTCAAATTTCTGCTTACATGTCATCACTATTATTGTGTTCCACACACCGCGTGCACCCACGTGGTCGCTTAGCGTATTCCCCGAAAATCGTTAGAGGTCCCCAACCTCGGAACCCTGGGAACAGTCCAGAACCATGCGCGTGCCCTGCGGCGCGCGCGTCCGCAGCCGCGATGACGGCGTGGTTCTCTGTGACGTAATTTCCGCCAACGAATGCACCAATCACATGGGCTGTAGGACGTCACCTGGCCATTCTGATGCTGCTGATTGGTGGCTTTCGTTACCAGGAAGATTATTTATGCCTGCCGCCATCTTTCAGCTTCACTCAACTCCCGCCGTTCTCTTGCCGACCGGACCCCGTACGAGGAGGTCCTGTGTTGCTGCTCGGGCTGCCGCTTGTTAAACTTTTCTGCTCCACACGTTGATCGCCAGGTTGGTGATGTTGCCGCGATTGCTTTTGGTTTGATATGATTGTGGAACATTATGTGCTGTGGGTGAAGTTTCGTTCACTGGTTTTGGTCAGTCATTTGCTTGGAGAGACTGGTAATGTGAGGCGTATGTTTCGGTACATGAAAACCTAACAACACCAGGATGTTTTTTGCAAAAGCTTTATGAGGCATACTTAACTTGAGACAGTTACATAAGTGGGGCAGGTTGTGCCTCATGGTCCTATGTAGCATTTGGGGATGGGATGGCACTAAAAATTTTCACCTGAAAACCCATTCTGCTGCTCTGCTCTTATGCAAGATCTATGTGGTGCATACCAAAATTTTTGCATTCTATGTACTCATTTTTGCATGTCTGCCCATATTTTTGTGTGCACTTTTCACGTGCATTTTAACTAATGCTTAAAATGTTATGCGTAAACATGTCTGGGGTAACAGCAATAGTGCCAAAATTGTTGGGGGGTTTGTGTCATAATTTTGAATGCCCAAAGTTTGGTGCAGTCACCATCCTCAGATGACAGCACTGTTGAAGTTGTGCTTGTTAAAGGCAGTTTTGGTAAAAGTGCCCTGATATTTTTTTGCTGAGATAATTACTAAATTCAGTTGATTTTAGCCTGGCCAGGGTTTTGCGTACTCGAGCAGGACAGCACCAATGTTTCACATCCAATAATGTCTGTTTGACATAGGGAATGCTTTTTTGGCTGACTGGTCCCTGATTTCCTCTTGGGTACACCCCAGCCAATTTGTAAGTTAAATAACTACCTGAAGAATTAAATGAGAGAAAATCTGCTTGGTTGTTGGGTGTTTGGCTGCTATTTGCCACATCATGCAATCATATAAATGACTAATTAGGGTTAGAAGTCTTCAGCCATACGCCTTTAGCGACAGCCTAGGGTGTCTGGTCTTTGAGCTGTGGTTTGGCCCTAAGGTATATAATAAATGATTAGATTTAGTTCCGACGTGATAACCATGCTAAAAACTTTTGTGATAATATACAGGTACCAGATAGGATAGTTTGTAAAGCAAATCAGGTGTTGGCTGATCATCTCTGTCATGCAAGGAATCAAGGTGTTGAATGCCCAATTTGAGTCATATTTGAGTCCAATTTGGTGCTCACCAATAGAACATGCAATTTCTTTCTCAAGGTTGTTAACAGGTTAAGTTTTGCATTGGAAAGTTGACTCATGAAAATTATATGATGGAAAAATGCACTTTGTTTGTTTTTGCCTGCTTCAACACTGCTGCCAAAGTGCTACCACGGTTGGGACTTCCACCAGTGGAACTTATTATGTGTGGTCTCAAGTGACCCTGAACTTATGTTAGCATGAGCATGAGTAGCATGAGCTCCAGATGCTTGAAAGACATCATGTATACAAGGGTTGCCACATTTTTTGGTATGTTAATTAAGCACAATGAGTGAGCACCTCAGTGAGTAACCTCAGTGAGCACATTGTTTTTAAACCCATGTTTACGCAGGCTAAAGAACCTGTGTTTTTGTTAGCCCCAAGACTCACGATATCCATGTTGTTCCAGGATGTCGAAAGCTCCTGCCATCGGTATAGATCTGGGCACCACGTACTCGTGCGTAGGTGTGTTCCAGCATGGCAAGGTGGAGATCATCGCCAACGACCAGGGCAACCGCACGACGCCGTCGTACGTCGCGTTCACGGACACGGAGCGTCTGATCGGCGACGCCGCCAAGAACCAGGTGGCGATGAACCCGGGCAACACCGTGTTCGACGCCAAGCGGCTGATCGGCCGTCGGTTCGACGACGCGCCCGTGCAGGCGGACATGAAGCACTGGCCGTTCCAGGTGGTGAGCGATGGCGGCAAGCCCAAGATCAAGGTCGAGTACAAGTGCGAGGCGAAGGTGTTCGCGCCCGAGGAGATCAGCTCCATGGTGCTCACCAAGATGAAGGAGACGGCCGAGGCCTACCTGGGCAAGACGGTGAATGACGCTGTCGTCACTGTGCCGGCCTACTTCAACGACTCGCAGCGGCAGGCGACCAAGGACGCGGGCGCGATCGCCGGCCTCAACGTGCTCCGCATCATCAACGAGCCGACAGCAGCTGCCATCGCCTACGGCCTCGACAAGAAGGTCGGCGGCGAGCGCAACGTCCTCATCTTCGATCTGGGCGGCGGCACCTTCGATGTGTCAATCCTGACCATCGAGGACGGCATCTTCGAGGTCAAATCCACCGCTGGAGACACGCATCTCGGCGGCGAGGACTTCGACAACCGCATGGTCAACTTCTTCGTGCAGGAGTTCAAGCGGAAGCACAAGAAGGACCTGTCCACCAACAAGCGTGCTCTGCGCCGGCTGCGCACGGCATGCGAGCGGGCAAAGCGCACGCTCTCGTCGTCGTCGCAGGCGTCCATCGAAATCGACAGCTTGATGGAGGGCATCGACTTCTACACGTCCATCACCCGCGCCAGGTTCGAGGAGATGAACGCCGACCTGTTCCGCGGCACGCTGGAGCCTGTGGAGAAGTCGCTGCGCGACGCGAAGATGGACAAGGGCTCGATCCACGACATCGTGCTGGTCGGCGGCTCGACGCGCATCCCCAAGATCCAGAAGCTGCTGCAGGACTTCTTCAATGGCAAGGAGCTCAACAAGTCCATCAACCCCGACGAGGCGGTAGCCTACGGAGCGGCCGTGCAGGCGGCCATCCTGCACGGCGACAAGTCCGAGGAGGTGCAGGACCTTCTGCTGCTGGACGTGACGCCGCTCTCGCTCGGAATCGAGACGGCCGGCGGCGTCATGACCACGCTGATCAAGCGCAACACGACGATCCCGACCAAGCAGACGCAGACGTTCACCACCTACTCTGACAACCAGCCGGGCGTGCTGATCCAGGTGTATGAGGGCGAGCGCGCCATGACCAAGGACAACAACCTGCTCGGCAAGTTCGAGCTGACCGGCATCCCGCCGGCGCCGCGCGGCGTGCCCCAGATCGAGGTCACCTTCGACATTGACGCCAACGGCATCATGAACGTCTCGGCCGCCGACAAGTCGACTGGCAAGGAGAACAAGATTACCATCACCAACGACAAGGGCCGGCTGACCAAGGAGGAGATCGAGCGCATGGTGAACGAGGCGGACAAGTTCAAGCAGGAGGACGAGGCGCAGCGCGAGAAGATCTCCGCCAAGAACGCGCTCGAGTCGTACAGCTTCAACATGAAGTCGACGGTCGAGGACGAGAAGATCAAGGACAAGATCTCCGAGACCGACAAGACCACCATCCTCGACAAGTGCAACGACACCATCAAGTGGCTGGACGCCAACCAGCTGGCCGAGAAGGAGGAGTTCGAGCACAAGCAGAAGGAGCTGGAGCAGGTCTGCAACCCCATCATCACCAAGCTGTACCAGGGAGCCGGCGGCGCCCCTGGCGGCATGCCCGGAGGCATGCCCGGCGGAGCGCCAGGAGCTGGCGCCGCTCCCGGCAGCGGCGGCGGCGCCGGCCCCACCATCGAGGAGGTCGACTAAACGCCGCCTTCTTAGGGTCCAATGAACAACCTCCGTGGCCGCAGCCCGCCCGGGCGGCGGCCAGCATTTTAGCCCAGTATTTCACTCGTGTGTTGGTTGAATAAACTCCCGTAAATTGCCGTGTACGCTGCGTTATGTGCCGGCGAGGCCGGCCCTGATCCATACGTGCATGGCTGGCTCGAGCAACGGAATCTGGCCCGACAAAGGAATCGCACGATCTGATTGGCAACTGGGTCATATGAGCGTGACTGGGTGGAGCTGCTGACGCCACTCCCCCCCCCTCCCCCCCCCCTCCTATGGCTCGGACCGCGGTATCGATTTCCCGCACTGCGGCACCAGCGGAACAGCTGTGACGTCACATGGGTCGGTGTGCCGCACAGACGCTGAACGCAGCTCTGCAGTCACCAGGAATGATGCACCACCGGCGTAATCCACTCGATGTGGGCCGGACGAGCTGCTGACGTTCAGCCTGGGAGCGGGCCGCGCGGCCTGCGACTGGGGAGGGGTGAAGGAGTCCCTGACAAGGTCCGGGCGGGTGAGTCACCGTCGCGGGAAAGGGCGGGCAGCGACTTCCTTGCACGCGAGGGTGCGGCCCGTTAAAATTCCGGCCAGCGAGATTAGAGGTCACGTGCCACGCGGTGTGGTGCACATCCTCGTACCGCTATGCCGTTGGTCGCTGCTGATGCCTGGCGGTCCGGCGCCCGCCACAGGGGCAGTAGGGCTGCTGTAGATCTTGTTAACCTTGCAACGTTTCACGGCGCGCAGGACGACGGGAAAATTATGCCGCCGCTTTCCCGGCAGCGGCACTTCATTGAGTAACCGAGCACCAGTGCCAGCAGGAAGGCCTCCATAAAAGGCGCCTGGATCGCTCGCCACCCGGGACGCGCGACCTCGTAGGGTGATTGGATGGCGGGTAGAGCTGGTGACGCGAGTGGCACGGCATAACGCAACGCCACGAAACGTTAGTCACTGAGACAGTTCAAGCGACGATGCGTTTGCAGCGCAGCCGCCATGGGAGGGGAACGCGACGTGGACTTCCCGTTTTCATATGACGTCGGCCGGACGGCGGTGACGTCATATGAAGGCGGGATTTCTTCTATCTCGATACTCTTTCTCGCATTTTACTGTAACTTCCGATGTGCGGGATCCGGACAGGCCGCATGACCGAGATAGGATTCGGGTGGTTGACTGGTCGTCACCAGACATTACACGCTAGCGTACGGATGTCGTTAGACCGCAGCGAGCGGAAGGCGTCTGGGGACGAGGCTGGGCAGGGGGAGACCCTGCTATCGCGCTGCGGCTCAGTAGCGAGGTGACGCCGAAGGAAAGCACGGCGCACCTGCCCCAGCATGCAGTGAGTCATACCCGGTCCGCAGGCATCTGACCTTGCTGGATGAAAACGATATTACATAACAACGGTATATTTGTACCTCGCGGTAACCACAGTGCAAGAACTTGGCCGCCGTTCTGACGTCCGTGCCAAAGTTCTAGACTCGACACAATTTCGTTGAAAGCGGCGCGTGCTGGATCGCCGGCAACACGCCGGAGCGGGGTCAGCGGTGTTAACTCAGCCCCCGCCGAGTCAGCGGTGTTGACTCAGCCCCCGTCGAGTCACCGGCCGTCACCGAGTCACCCCTCCAAGGTCGGGTCCGTTAGCTCCCACGCGCCGCCCCGTGCGACTCCTTCCGTCAGCGCCTCGCCGCGCCACCCTTTGCCTCGCCACGCCACCGCTCGCCCCGCCGCAACACGCGTTCACCGGCCCAGCCGCCGAGCCCCGACCGACAGCGAACAGCGCATCAGCGACTCGGCCGCGTCCCAACTGTCGACGGGCCCGCGCGCGTCGGCCGGCCGGTGAGCATCACAGAGGGGCTGGGGCTGGGTCGACCCCGTCCGCCTGCGCCGGCCACCGCGCCCCGGCCAGAGCACGCGCCACGGCCAGGTCCACGGGCGTATCGATGTCGACGGCGCTCTCCTCCGACACCTCGACGTACCAGCGTCTGCAAAGGCGAGGACTGCCCGGTCAGAGGCGGTGGGTGCGGAGGAACGCGCCCGGCCATCTGAGCCGGCTGTACACGGACACTGAGGTCACAACTGAGGGTGCAGCGGGCGTTCATTGAACGATGACGGAAAATAAACACGTATGTCACTAGTTTCGGCATTTCATCATGTTCAAGAACATTCCGACGATCTTATCTCTTAAACCACGTGGCCAATTTCCTTCCATTCTGCGCGCTGCACATACCATCGCCGTTCTATTCACACACTGCCAAACGTAACACCAAAACAACGCTTCAGCGCCCACACGCGCACCCTCCGACAGCGACGCGTGTTGCAAGGATTGCGCAAAGCCTCCACGCAACATCCAGCGTGCAAGGTCGATGACTGTCGATTTCGCAATCTCACCAACAAACCTCCACAGAGGTGCCAAACAGCCAACTGCACGATGCACCGGCCCCCGATGCTTATCCCTGGTGGGCTCGTGACACGGTGAAAACATCTGCATTGAGCGTTCAGTGCTAGGTGATATCAGACGTTGCATGCTTTCCAGCTATTGCATATCGAAATTTCGGGTCTGAGGCAATGCATTGTTACGTTTTGATTACCTAAGTTACATTTTCAGCTACATTTACATTTTACATTTAAGTTACATTAGCAAGTTACATTTTTTACCACACTACAGCTACACAGGTCCGGGGAGCTCGACATCAACATGAAGAACGCGTCCGGAAAACGAGAGACTTGTTTTTCGAACACGTTGCTAGGGCGACGGAGGCGTTACCTGCCAGCCTGTAGTTGCCGCTCCTGCCGCACGAGGGCAGCACGGGTCACGTAGAAATTACCGCTCTCCACAAGTTCAGAGGTCATATCCTGACGCCGGGGTCGACATCTGGGGTCAAAATTGGCAGGCTCCAGGTCGCCTGTTGGCAGCAGAAGAACGACTGGCATCAGCGTAGGAAATGCGGAGCGGTCACACCCCAGCCATTCGGGGAGCGCATATAGCGTGGCGGAGACAATAACATGGCGGAGACATGCATACGCTGGACACAATAACACCGGTTTTCGAGAGCATCCTGTCGTGGCGTCATGCCGCCCATGCTTCAAGAACGGCGGAGGTGGCGGCGGCGTGCGACCGCTCCAAACCACGTGGACTTCGTACGCAGATATCTTATGCGACCACACGCATTACAAACTCCCAACCTAACGTAAACCAGTCCCAACAGAAAACCTAGGATAGAAGCGTTACATGACATGAAACAATGCCACCCGCCGGCACGCGGGCCCGCAAACCTCGCGCCCCAACCAGACGTCCCGCTCCACACACGGCCGCCACGGGGGAGTCCGGCCGACCCACCTGCGCCCGTGTCCCTCCAGCGCAGGCTCGGAGCGCGTCGCACCAGCGAGAACACGGAGTCGTAGCCTCCGGCACGCACCAGCTGCAGCGCTCGGCAGACGTCCTCGGGAAGAGTCAGCGGGCTGGTGCACTGCAGCAGCGCCAGCGTCTCCACCTCTGGCGACGAGCGGCCAGCGGCACACATTCTACCGTCGGCCTCGGATGGGTTTACAAGGCGGCCAGTGAGACACACTCCAAGCAGGTCTGGTTACAGTCGGCTTCGGATGGGTTTACAAGGCGGCCAGTGAGACACACGCCAAGCAGCTCTGGTTACAGTCGGCTTCGGATGGGTTTACAAGGCGGCCGGTGAGACAAACTCCAAATAGGTCTGGTTACAGTCGGCTTCGGACGGGTTTTGGGGAGGGGTTTTGGCGGGTGGTTTTCACTAAGTGTTTTCAGGAATTGCACGGCCTACCTAGCCAGTCGTCCCCGCACGAGCTCTAGTAACTGCAGCGTTCACGCGAGCGCCAAGCAAACGCGGCCGTCGTCGATAGTTAAACTAAGATTTACCACTGCTAAAGCCCAACCTTCCACCGAGTGCCTCTACATGTCCCCTTTTCATCCATTTATCATTCAATGCAAAGTTGTTTCGAAGTACCAGAAATTTCTCAAAACGTGTCCGCGCTGAAAGCCCCCCCCCCCCCCCTCCCTCTCGTCCATAGACGTAGAATGGCATACAGCTTCTCTTCGAGAAAATCAGAAAACAGCAGTCACACTGTTTATTTTGCTTTCAACAAGATTTTCGGCGGCTTTTCGGCAGGTGTTGGTGAGGACGAAGCCCTCCCAAACAGATGCGAAGGTCAACCAACGCTTTCTAAGATCTGATCCAGCTTTGGTTAGCTCACTCCGATGTGATCGGCCGACGCGGTCTCGGCCGACCCGAATGGCACGTCACTAAGAGCACGACACACGAGACTCTGCACGACACGCAGTAGAGCCAGGGGCGTCGCCAATGGGGAAGAGGCAGGATGTCGCGCCACCGCGCAGTAGATGTCCCCCCCCCTCTTTCATGAGTAGCAGCGTCGATTATACTGCTTTGTCCGGAGACCCGTCTGCGCGCCACTAGGAATCCTAACGATGTTCTAATTGCATGCTCTATTGAAGGGGATATGGGCTACCAATTCAGCGCCTGTATAAATCTGCCGTCGTGGCTGATTACTATCAGGAAGGAATTACGCACATTAAATTCACCATCCAAATCCATGTTAAAGTACATTCAATGGCCTCTCCATATCTCACACTGGCTAGCTCCTCCCCGTGGCCAACTGGTTAACCAGCTGCTAAATGGCTTGCCAAAATCAGCCTTGCTGGCACTTAAATCCCTCTCATTTTTATTATATGCCCACCGAGCCTTACGAGCCTGTCACATCCTTTACCAGTCTCAGCCACTGACCTGGCTGGTCCCCCAAGAACTCGAGGACGGCGCCTACAGAGGTGGCCGTGTCAGTGCAGGTCTTGGCACTACGACGATGAACCAACGCACCAGCTGCTGATGAGGCCCTAGAGATTGCCTCATCATCAGTTGACACCCAGACTGCATCAACACCTGGAGGGTGGAAAATGCTGTCAGCTATTCTTGACTTTATATAATTACAAGGAGGGTGTGAATTGATTGAAATGTTAGTCAGCTGTGGTCAGAGGCATACCAATCAACACAATTACACATGCCCATCAGATGCAATTGCACATACCAATTAGATGCAATTACACATACCTTACAGCATAACAATAAGACAGGGTCTTACCATTGCCTGCACATCAGACAGAAACCATCACACAGGTTGATTCATCCAGGATCAAGTGTTGCCCATGCATTCAGGTATCTGAAAACATATTATTTCAAATCAAATAATATTGAGAAGGCATCTTATATGTTTAAAACTTAAATTCTTCATGTGCGATGATGGAATTCTCTCTCTAACAGGATGACATCCCTCATGTTTGTCTGACTACCAATAGCTAAAATGAAGCATACACAATCTTGCTACTGGAAAAACTACTTAAAGAAACTAATAAAAAGCCAAGGCCTGCATGCCATCAACCAGCTATTCTGATCTGTTCATCCTGGCAAGTTTTGTGAACTCTGCCTTTTGTTTTGAGTCACATCATTTCAGGAAAAAGAATGGCAAGGATGGTCAGTTTAGCATGATGCAACCATTGCAATACTGAGATAAATAGGAGGACAACAGATTTCAAACCATTCATGATGCAGCTCCATCTATCTAGAACAACTCATGCAACAAAAGCAAGAGTGAACAAAGCCTGAATTGAAGCGAGTGTGCATACAAATTCATGCTATATGAACAAAAAAGAAAAAAAATGTGTTCAGACATAAGCAAACATGCCAATGTCATGAAGCTGCTGGTAGCATGACTTTTCACTACACATGGGAGATGAAACCATAAAACAACCAGCGATAATGGTGCTACAAAAAACCCATCACAATGCCTTACATATTCAACTCACCATCAACCTGCTTTGCAACAGTAATGCAATGACACACGAGTGGCTGGTTCATGAAATGGACCATATTCTTTTTAGGGATACCTTTGCTGCCACCTCTTGCAAGAATGAGAATGCATGTTTGGCTCATTTTATAACCACAGAGTTACTTGGATTATCTAACCAATGAACTATCTTAGCCTTAAAGTTAAAACATACGCTGAAATTTCCGAAAGTGAGAAATGACTCGAGAATGAACGCGTTTCACAACACCTTTTTCACAAAGCACCCATACGTCATTTTGGGTGTGCGTAAACCCTTCGTTCGCCTAGTTGCCTGCTAGAGTTAAACAAAACACCGATCAAGTTGTATTTGTTGTTATAAGATACAGTCGTTGTACTCATGCTGTTTTATTGGTGAAAGCATTACTTCAAGAGTCTGAAATCATTTTTGGTGCCGCTCAGCTTCATCCTTCATAGAAATCTTATTTGTCTCATAAAAACTGAGAAAACCCTACCGGAATTTAAGAATCTCTTGTACAAAAAGTGAAGTGGCGCACGTGTGACATAAATTTTTGCTCGCAAAAATTGTCGTCCAATGAGGCACGGCCTCATCAGACTAGTTTCGAAGGCGGGAGGGGCTCATCTGTGGCCAATAGCCATTTGGGACGTGTACTTCTGATGTGCGTCGAGAGATATTCGGGACACTGCGTGCGTCAGCAACGTAGCTGGACGGTATCAGATAAGCACAAAAGGCCGTAGAGGTAATACTGACTTGTTTGCCCGGACCTGGTGGAGTTGCTAGGCATTTTAACATGCCTTACAGCAAGAGTTCTCCGATTCAGGAAGATGTCCCACCTTTCCCTCGGGCTCGTAAGAGCTCAAACGCAAGTGTAGTTTCTGAGGGCTCACCAGCTTCCCTTAGAAGACAAAGGCAATCTATGACCAGCTTTGAGGGATCTTCATCCAATCTAAGTCTTCCACTTCTGTTCATCAAGGAACGTCTTCAGTGGACTGTATTCTCTGCTGAATATAGAGAGAGGAGGCATCTTGACTTCCTAAAGAGTTACAGGTAATACTTTGCTCTGCTATATTCATGTTCTGTTGCTGTTTATTTTGATTTTGATTTGGTACACAACATGTCTTTGTAACCAATAAGTCACTGTTTTTTGTGCATCTGTACTCAGCATGCCTTTCTGCTGCAGTTCATATTTTATTCGTTTTGTACAAAGTAGAATTGTAATGCTTCCTTATTTGGTTTTAATGGGTATCTTGTGCTGCATAAATTGCCCATGCATCTCTCTATTTTTCAGAGATGTTCTGATCATTGATCAAGTAGAAAAGGGTGCTATCAAGATCTTTAAGGAGGTGATTAAGCATTGCAAGAAGGAAATGGATGAAGATGTCTGGATAGGAATCAAAAGTACAGTTATTGGTTATGTTCAGCTTGTGAAGTATGTGCTTTGTGTATGTAAAATGGCATGTTAGACATAGTATTTTTGTCAAAAATGACATTCCAGGTTCCATTTTTATGCCTTTCAATCTGTCTTTGGTGTGAATATTCTGAATATTAGTGAAAGGGTGTTTGTAAGTGTTTAAGTGGCAGTGTGTGAGCATAAAACTTTATGTGAATTCCTAAAGGTATATGCAGTCATGTCTTTTAGCAGCATTGGTCAGCATCTAAAGTGATAGAAAATTTAAGATTGTCTTACTCTCAAATGTTAGAGGCTGACCTGTGTTTCACTCCCAAAAGTAAGAGGCAGACCTTGATTGAGCCTCTGAAGTCTCATGCTGTCATTCCAAATGCAAAATGGCACCCATTCTACTTGGTGCAAATCATGTGCTACATGTACTCACACATGTACTAGATGCCTGTGCTTGTGACACATGCATCCATCATCATACATGTTGACACATTCTCAGTGTTATAGCACTGCACCAACCAAGGCTGTCATCCCGGCAGAGAGTCTGGAGGGCTTGAGTCTGTTTGTGGAGCTGCCAGAGGGCACTCCATTTGGTCACTACTGGTTTCTGGTGCGCTCTGTCAAGTACCGCAGCTCTGATGGCCTGGAACTACGCATCAAAGTGCTCAGGTGAACCAGCTGACTAGAGAAAAACATCACAGGAGCTTGAAGCTAAATTAGGCTGCTTCGATCAGCGAGGCGATGTAGCAGGATGCTCTTGGGCATGCTCTCACTGGCGGTAGAGCCAGAGGGGTGCTGCCGAGGGTGATGCACGACAGCTGTTTTTCACGATGTGTCGCAGTAACACGTCTTCCTATTCATGGTCAATCTGCTGTGATAAACGCAGTCTCGGTTGCGGAAAAACACTTGTCATTGATATGTAGTCCGTTTTAGCGCTTGAGCTCAAGGTTTTGTTCATTATGCCACTCTCCCAACATGCGGCCAGACTGCTTTGGCGTGATGCATCGTTGTTTCAGTGTACAGCCTCTAACTTCGCTGGCACAGAATGGTGAGGATTTGGTATGTGACCTCGCTGCTTCAGTACGTGACCTCGCTGATTCAGTATGTGACCTCGCTGTTTCAGTACGTGACCTCGCTGTTTCAGTACGGGACCTCGCTGTTTCAGTACGTGACCTCGCTGTTCCAGTACGTGACCCCGCTGTTTCAGTATGTGACCTCGCTGTTTCAGTATGTGACCTCGCTGTTTCAGTATGTAACCTGGCTGTTTCAGTACGTGACCTCGCTGTTTCAGTACGCGACCTCGCTGATTCAGTACATGACCTCGCTGCTTCAGTGCGTGACCTCGCTGTTTCAGTACGTGACCTCGCTGTTTCAGTACGTGACCTCGCTGTTTCAGTACGCGACCTCGCCGTTTCAGTATGTGACCTCGCTGTTTCAGTATGTGACCTCGCTGTTTCAGTACGTGACCCCACTGTTTCAGTACGTGACCTCGCTGTTTCAGTACGTGACCTCGCTGTTTCAGTACGTGACCTCGCTGTTTCAGTACGTAACCTCGCTGTTTCAGTACGTGACCTTGCTGTTTCAGTATGTGACCTCGCTTTTTCAGTGGATGACCTTGCCACTTCAGCATGTGACCTCCCTCTTTCAGTGTGTGATGACTTCGCCATACTACACGACTCCTTGCTGTTTCACTGGGCAATGTCTATACTGATGTGCTGTCAGCTCTCCCAGCCTGTGCCCTGTCCTGTTTCAGGGAGGTGTGCCCCAGCGACGCACCGTCCTCCTCGGACCAGGCGGCGGCCGGCCGGCCCCTCTCGGACTGGTCACGTGACGACCTGCTGCGCTGGCTGTCAGCCAAGTTCAGCGCGCTGCCCTGGTCTGACGGCGCCGCTGTCGTCAGACAGGTGAGCCGATCACAGGGTAGGCCGGAGGTGCGCTGACCAATCACAGACTGGGGGACGGGATGTGAACCACTCACGGACCGATGAAAAGGAAGCGGACCGAGTGATGACGGATTTAGGTACAGCACCTAGTCGAACCAGTGTTTGACTAAGGTCCAACAGATGGCCAAACCAATTGAGAACAGAATTGTGGAAGGTTTCCAGCCAATCAAAGACCAAAATTGCTTCTCAGCCCTTTGCACACATTGAGGGACATCCGTTGGCGAGCACGCATGGCTTCGAGCCAATGGTAAACAGGAGTGGGAAGGGAGCTGGATGGCGAGGGCGGAATGGTTGCAGCACAGGCCACACTCAGTCACGCATTTGCCATATAAGATAAAGAGAGCACATCCTGGGTTGTAATTTGAATCAATCAACAGCGCAGTCCAGGGACCAGACGAAATACAGCGACGGTGGCCAGAGCGTCGATCGCGGTATCCAATGAACTTTCGACATGCCGTTCTGGTGACCTACACATGGTAGGTAAACTACCATGGTGATATCAGTGGTCTGCCGTGGTTAGACGGGGACCAGAGTGGCACACTCGTAATGCAAATGAGCGGAGAGGCTTGCGATCAATGACTCATCACAAAAAAACTCAGGTGATCGGCCTCACAATACCGTCAATTGCGCATTCCAATATCACTGACCGCTCATCAGACGTTGAAGTCAGCCATACACGTTATAAGGCCCAACCCTGATCAGGTCGTTCTGAGGATAGCCTCGAGACAGGCCAGACCAGTATTGACCGCCAGCGCGTAGGTGAAGTCACCCGCGGACGGAGGTCAGACGAGGGAGAAAAAACGGCCGCTCCGACCAGCGCACACCTGAGCGCGGTATGTTTGGCGGAGTCATACAACAGCTGTGTTGGCGAGATTCGTATCTGCCCGATGGATATTTACGGGACTGGGCCTGTCTTTCACTCATTGGTTTGCAGTGTATAGCGTTGTAGCATGGCTTTCTGACCCTTACGACGTAATATTTTTTGCAGTCATTTTTTCATGTCGCAGCCATTCATCCGCAAAGAGGTAGCTGGGACGTTATATTAGTGCTATTATAGTAAAGTACATGAATACCATTATACTCGATATGTAAATGACGTATGCGCCCAATATGAGTCAAAACCCGTAGACGGAATGCAGCTGCCGTGTTTCGTAACAGCTCTGGAGGGCTCCTCTCAGCCCCAAAGGGTTCAGTTCACTTAGTAAACGAAGGGTTGGAGGGGCCCCTAGCATTTCTCAAAAGTGACAGAATGCTAGACCGTCGCGTGTTCCCCGTTTGCGCTTCCGTTTCCGACTTCATTCGTCTAGATTTGGGAAGATACAGGCGTATTATTATTTTTTATACTTATGTGTATATTATATATGATATATATTATACATTATATATATATATATATATATATATATATATATATATAATACAGGAATACACGCGAACCCGGCATCCCCGAACCTGTGCAAAGAACAGGCCCTGGGGAACAGGGCCCTCTCGGCGAGCCCCGTGGCGACCGCGGCCCTGGGCGGGCCGTCACCCGACGCCCTGGTGACGGAGGCGCCGGCTGAGCAGCACGAGCTGCCGTCGGCCGGTCCAGAGTGGCGTCATCGTGCCGACGTGAGGGAGCCAATGGCACAGCGTGCGGCGGAATCGTGCCGACGTCAGGGAGCCAATGGCACAGCGTGCGGCGGAATCGTGCCGACGTTAGGGAGCCAATGGCACAGCGTGCGGCGGAATCGCGGCGCAGGCTGCGAATTTTAATTAAAGCCCGACGATCAGTTCTCGCTTTTAAAGTGAACAAGATTTTGCTGTCAGTTCGCACAATTTGTGCGATATGAAACTATTTCCGTATAGTGGGGTAACCATGTATTCAGCTTTTTATTTCGTACTCAAAGATAATTTTTACCTGCTTTATTGTCCTTCAGTGTGCTTAAGATTTGATGCATTGTGCACCAATGTATTGCCTTCACTTGTGTGTTACTGTTAAATATCACGCCCATGGAATTTACTAAACGTCGACCCACAAGCATTAATGTTACAACAGCCTCCTGTTTTGCGGCCGGTGGTTTGTCGCGCCGCACCGCTGCCGCGTTACACGTCTCATGCGTCCTCCGGCAGGTGTTCAGCGCGCGGACGGTGCGGGACGCCCTGCGGTTCGTCTCCGTCCTGTTCCTTCTGCTCGTCTCCTGCTTCAAGGACGCCCACGTGTGGCTGCTCAAGTTCGTCGACGCGGCCGGCGTGTTCGTGCAGCGCTCGACGCCGCTCGCCACGGCGCTGCTGCAGTTCTGCTTGAAGGTGGTCGGCGGCTTCTACATCCTGCTGGCGCGCGTGTGGGCCGACCTGCGCCACGGCAGCCCCCCGGCGCCGCCGCCGCCGCCGCCGCCGCCGCCGGCCCTGCGGTACCCGAGCCCGCGGCCGCCGCCGCCGCCGCAGTACTGGCAGCTGCCGGTGGGTCCTGGTGGCGGAGCGACGGCGCCCTCCTGAGACGGCGCTGGAGGACGACCGTTTCGGGTAGGTGGAGCTTAGGTGGCGGGTGAAGGCAGCTTTTGCTTTCGTGATGCCGAAATGGTCTGAGATTAACGGTATGCAGATGGCTTTTTCAGAAAATGCCTTGGGGTTGCGTGCGTTCGAACTTTGGCATCCCACAATCTCTTTTAGGTGGGTCGGATCCGTAGAGTAATGGGCTGCACGCGTCAAGCCTTTTTCCAGAGGTCAGGTGTAGATGGAAGCACGTGCTCCCAAAATAATCGGTGTTTGGTATTACAAAATGTCTTCTATATGATGTGAAATTTTCAGAAAACGTGCTTTGCTTTTGGAGGCGCTGTCACTCATTGCTCATGCACTGGCGTATGTGCCAAAGAGTTTGGGATTCCGTGGATGCGAATGCCAGCACCTGAACCATGCCTGGTCACCAGTTTCGGACCCCGCCTACAGCACAGGATCACGCCCCAGCCGTCACGGTTACTTCCGCGCCGTTGGTTCACTGTGTGGTCCCGTGCCTCGGCGCAGTCGGCGTCCGTCGAAGGAGGATGATTACCGAAGTTGTGGGATGGCAGCCTCGTGACTTACACTGCCCCGCTTTTGGGCATTTTCTCGGGGAGATGATGGTTCAGACCCTTGTCATAGTCCGCAGGTACTGAACAGGCCTTCTTGTTGCAGAAGTTGGTGGTGGAAGGTGCCCTATCAATCGTGTTGTTCTTTGGGTGGACACGGGCACGCCATTTGTTCCAGCCACAGCATGTTTACTTGGGTTGGAATGCGAGAAATGTAAAGCCAAACAGGCATCAGGCAGAGCAGTGCCCTGCCATGTACATCTAGACGTCTTTCAAAAGATACCTTGTCCCACTGTCTCCGCGAATGCCCGTGTCGGCATGATCGTCTGCGCAGGTGTAACACTATCACGATGCTGCGGCGAATGTCCATTCATCTAGTAGATGTGACAACTGCTGTGTTGGGCACTGAATCCACCAGAATCTAGATACAGTGGACAGGTCGCGACGGCTTGCTGGTTTCTCCACAGACAACGGATGTTGTCTTTGGAGAAGCCACAGCGTCACAGGGTACGTCGCCACTCGCACCTCCGTGCGTTTTTAAAGACCCGCTGGGATGCAGGTCCTAGTGAGGGTTCTACACCTTCATGTAGTGGCCGTCTTAACGGGAGGTCTGGCATGTCCATCTGGTGCTGGCGAAAGGCCAAGGCTGTGCGGAATGAAGTCCATGGTGCCCGAATGATATCGGGATTGGTATGTGTGCGCGGTGTGAGTGGGCGAACAGCAAGCCCCAAATCTCGCGGAAGACGAGTGGCTGAAGGGTGCATTGGCCTGCCCTGGCTTCCGCTCTGTGTTGCTGACTGTACCCCGCACCTACCGACGCTGTGACCCAGCGCTGGTGGGTGGCGCTCTCGGAGTGGGTCTTACTTCTCCGTGACTGCGTGGTGTGGGTTGTGCGTGCGCGCGAGTGTATCTGTACTGGTGAGATCTGACAGGCTCATGGGTCGTATCTGCATGTTCCTCATCGATGTGTGCGGGAGTGAACCGTCATCAAATGCATGCGTGGATGTGCGGAGGCGGGGGAGGAGGCTATGGGGAGCTATGGGCCGATTTTCATCTGATGGGAAGACAGTTTTATTCGTACCGCGATGATTCGCAGTGAAGTGCGTTTGCCAACGCTCTGTCTTCGGATGCCGTTTGGTGGCGTCTGCATTTCTTGGTTCCCTGCTTCTGTTTGTCGTTTGCGCTTCGCCATCGTCGTAGTGTGACCACTACGGCGACATGAAACCGTGGGTTGGTCATAGTTTCTTTCAATAAGATATGTTGATGGGATTTGGTGACTTCTTTCTGCGCTTGACCCTGTATGTTCATGGAATGCTTATCTTATGTGCGCAAAGTTATGTTGGCTTTTATTGTGTGCCTTGGGTTGTTGAAGAATGCTAGCATTTTATGTGGCGCGAATTGGTGGCCTATTTATCCTTTATGTACCTGTTTTTTTGTTTTTGTTTTGTTTGTTAAAACGATTGCGCGTATCGGTTATTTTGTGCGTGGGCATTATATCAAAAAGCGGAGGATAAGGAAATTGTGGTTTTAAGATGAATCAACTCTGGCAGGTTTTTTAAAATTTTTGTCGTGCATCGGCCAATCGTGGTGCTACAGAACGCCGAACACTCGTAGAAAGCATTCTGCCGGCCAAAGGCCAAGAGCTGTTAGTTAACTTAGCACTTAAGCCTTTTTGCTTTGGACGGTAGCTTTGGTTTTCGTTGCAGGAATATGTCAGGAATCGAGTTTTCGAGGAGTTGGCTCGTTAATCCGCATTTTTCGTTGAATATCCATTGCTTTATATTATGTTTGATGACAGCTACGATGCATATCTTCCATCAAGCTATAATGTAAAGGCACACTCTATACGTGACGCAGAACGCCGTGACGTAGAACTAAGCCGTTACATGTGGCGCAGAACAATGTCCGACTTGCCCTATACCCAAGTTTATGACGTGAACATTGGCTTCCCTGTGATGTTGTCTATCACTATCCATTGTCATGTTGCTTTTTGCGCAAAGTGACTAGTCATGCGGTGATGTTCCCGGAATGTTCTATCGCCTTAATGAGAAATATATGTTGCATCATGAGCACAACGTCTGAAGCTCTAGGGTTCAAGGATCAGAGAGATTGTCCGTGCAATTCCATGCGACCAGCTGCTCGGCGAAAGCTTCGCACCGGTTTCTGGCTCCAGCATAAGCCACAACGTTGGTATGCACAGATGGAACGAGAGGTGGCGAGGTTCATCCCACTGTGCGAAGACACGTTGACTTTCTCAACGTCATGTTTTCCCAGGCCGCAGCATAATTGCCTAACTGCGCGCCCTGGCGAATCACGGAGTGGGCCCAAAACACCATAAAGCTCCACCGCCATATCGCTGCAGGGTTTTCCTTCTATTTTTTTTTATTTCCTATTTATCTATTTTTTATTATCTTCTATTCCCCAGTAGTCATCAGGTCTTGGCCTAACGGGGGTAACTCGCCACCCTTTCCTTCCCCGGAGTCCGGTACGTACAGATAGATGAAAATCTTGGTCTACGATCAAATCGAATAACTGAATGAATTTTAGCATCGCTGAGCTTGGATTCATAGGGTGGGAACAAGATCCCACGAGTGAGAACGTAATACAAACCCGAAAGGTAACACGTAAGAATGGTATCAGTACCAGGGTTGTACAGATTCCCACTCAGTCGGGTGGGGGTCCAGTCCCCCAAGGTGAGCTCCAGTCCCCTCAACTTGAAGAAGAAAACAGCCAAAACCGGAGAGAAGCTTGTTTTGACGTATTTTAGTGATACGTTTCGTCATTTTTCAGTTCCCTGCTCTGCCCTCCCTCCCGCCATTATAACGGTATCATAATGTACCCCACCACGTGCCAATGTATCATGTTTCTAGAAAGGAACACATGTACAAGGATTTCATTACTGCATGGCGGTCGGTGTGGAAACATGATCGGATTAAGCGGGCTTGGGCAAGCAATGAATGCCCTGGTTATCGGGATATGTTGCACGCACGCACACACTAATTCATGAATCAGGCACGCCCGTGTCCATTCTGGGTTTGGGATAGCACTGGCCTATATGAAAGACTTGTTCTAAATTTTTGGAAGCCACGATGAAAGGGGTGCCTTTTCCGAACGATATGATGCCTAGCATACGTCGCCTGAAATGCCAGAAAATTAGCAACATCGTTCACTGTGGTGCTAGTTTAGTGATGAAAAAGTAAGCAGTTATGTTGACGTCTGTGCTGTAGTGAGCACTTTGGAGCATTTAATTGTGCTGAAAAATAAATAAGTCTTCCAAAACTATGAACAGTCTCTTATAAACTCCTATCTGTCATGTAGGTTGATTACAAAATTTCCCAGAAGCAGCCGTGGGAATAGTGATGATGCGCCAACAACAAATGCGATTGCTACGCGCAGTTTGTCTCCATCTGGAACGAGAAATTGCGGCTGGGGTTTCTGTCGTAGTGTGTGGGGTGGTGTGCGTGGTCAGTGGATTAGCCTGACTGTGGTTTTTAAACGGGCTGCCTATAAGATGAAGAGCTTTGGTGACAGGTAAGAACGTTGATCAGGGCTGCAAACATACTTATTTGGCTCTTAAAGCCCTTGGATTGATTATAGGAACCGGACTTGGTCAATCACTCCCAGCGGAATGCCAACGTCCATAATGACTCGAAGGTATCGCCAGCTAAGCTGCTCTTGAGTGTATCAGGCATTATTTGGTTTTCCTGAGGCACAAGGTTGAGTGCACTGATGGGTGACTGGCGGTCAGGTGGATTTTTTTGTAGACTAGGATACATATTGGCATCATTGGTACATATATGACATTGTTGGTATGATTTTCATTCATGCTGGTCATAGCTGTGGGCAGTGATATCAATAGAGACAAAGCAAAGGACATCACTTAAAACAAACTTAATGGGTTTTTGCACTAGCTTTATCCTACTAAAGTAATCAAAATTTTAAGTATTTAGACATGCGTTAATCCAAACGACCCATTATTTGATATTGATGCAAGTTGTCCTTGCATATTGTTATGATTTTGCATGCAAGAACATCTTCCATGTTGATGTGGTGTCTGTTTCAGATAATGAATAACACCACAGTAGCCCCAGCTGCTGGTCCTGATGGAGTTAATGCCTCACAGCTGCATGGTAAGCCTTTTTGGAGTCAGTTGGGACCTTGTAATGTGACTGGGTCTGTCCTGTAGCATGTGTACAAGTGATTATTTGTGTTTAATGATGTATAATATTTGGCACTCATGGTTAATGTTTTTCCCATTTGAGTCCCACTTTGCATGTACCCTGTTGCTCATTCCACTGGCATGTCACCTGCATCCATGTTACAATGCTAAGGCAACATAGTTCTTGCACCAACTCTTTAAATGATAACAGCTGATAGCACCATATGTGTACTTCAATAATTGCTCAGCTAGTAATACAGGATAAGTCAAATTGTGCTATGTTTATACATGCTGATGTCTTACATTGTTCTGCAGGAACCATCTTTGTCAACAATGAGCCCTGCTTTATTGGTTCTTCAAGAACCAATTTTGTCATTAATGTGCCCTAAGATAATCCTGTTTCCCCCACTTAAATCAGCATGTGACAGTAATGCCAAAGCAGTTGCATGCATCATAAATAACCAAGATGCTCTTCAGGCTGCAATGGCTAATGCTATAAACACATGCAACAGAAGTCATCAATTTGTAATGCCATCCATCCCTGACCCATGCCACTTTGTGTTGCTATCAGCCAGCACCACGGACCATCTGTGACAGACTGGATCAGATCAATCTGACCCCCTCCCCCAGGGCTGGCGACCACGCCTGCGCCGGTCCGGGGCGCGGAGGGCTACATCTTCCTGGAGACGGTGTCGGCCCAGGCCATAGCTGGCGCGTTTGTCTGGGCTGCCCTCATCATTACAGTGCATCAGGTAAGCTGCATCTCCCCGAAATATGGTGTGTGGATATTCGTGGCATGCTACTGCCTCATGAATCTCTAAGCTCGGGCGACAGCCGGCCAAGGTGCACACAGAAAGCGTCATGGCGTCGGATGTAACTGCGCCCTTGACCTATGACTGTTGACCGTCGACCCTTGACTCTTGACTCTTGACTCTTGACTCTGGACTCTGGACATTTGACTCTTGACCCTTGAATCTTGAACCTTGAACCTTGCACCTTGCACCTTGAACATTGATGAACATTGAATATTGTCTAAAAGGCCACTGGAAGGTCGACTGAGCCGTGTTTAGACTGGTGCCACTCCCTCTGATTGTCGCGTCACGTCGTAAATCCACCCCTCCGTCGACCGCAATTGCCCAAAAGCCCAAATCACCATCCCAGTTCCCGGCGCGAAATGACGGCAGCACACGTCGCGCCCTGGAACCCCTATCAACAGAAACCCAATCATCATGTGCGCTGACGACGCGCCTTTCCGGCAGATCTACCAGCACCTGCGCTTCTACACCAACCCGTCGGAGCAGCGCTGGATCGTGCGCATCCTCTTCATCGTGCCCATCTACGCGTTCGACTCGTGGCTGAGTCTGCTGTTCTTCAACAAGAACAACTACTACATCTACTTCAACACCCTGCGCGACTGCTATGAAGGTGCGTCGCCAGCCGGTCGCGCTCCGTGTGGGACGAGCCGAACGGCGCGTGCAGGTTACACTGGTGGAGGAGGTGGGGGGGGGGGGGGGGGAGGTAAGATGCAAACCTCACAAATTTCCCAACGAAATAAGATAAGATGCTTTCAAAGATTATTCACGGACATGCATGTAGCAGGGCATGCACAAGTTACTGTCTGATGACACGCAAAAATCATTAAGGGGCAGGCACACGTTCACCGCCTCCCCCCCCCCCCCCCGCTATTACGCCACTGCGGCAGTATCGCCCCCAGGGGCGGCGGTGTCGGCGCCAGGAGCGGCAGTGTCAGCCCCAGGGGCGCCAAAGTCGGCCCCAGGGGCTGCGGTGTCGGCCCCAAGGGCCGCGGTGGCGAAGCCTCTCAGCCGGCGTTGACTGCCCCGCCTGAAGGCAGTGAGCCGGCGCCACGCCGGCTCGCTGCCTCGCCGCCGCCGCCTCGCCGCCCGGGGTCGGCGCCGCTCCCAAGCACGGCGCCGGGCCGGGGTCACCGCGGCGGGGCTCTGCTGGTCACACGCCGTCTGTAGCCGTGCTGTCGCGCTTGTGTCCAGCTTTCGGCGGGAAAGCAGCGAAAGCTACGCTGCTTTCAGCAACCAACGAGCTCCCACGTTGCGTGTCGGCGGTGAGGGAACGTAGTTTTTCCCCGGCTGAATTAAAACGCGATGTTTGCGTGCTATGGTCTGATTCTCGCACGCTGCTGTGCAACGCCGCCACAGCCTTGTGTATTTAGGTTGCCAGCATCCAAATTTACCTGAGATACCGTGTCCTTGACCTTTCATCGCTCAGTTTGTGTAATTGGATAGTGTGGGCAGGATAAGCGTGTCTCGACCTTCATGTCGTGAAGGACCGAGTAGCCGTCTGGATTTGGAGGATTTTCTCCGCGTGCACGGAGCGTTATCGGATGGTGTTGGAGTTTCGTGACCGCAAGATGACATCTTCCGGCAGTTTTGTTGGTGGTGCATAAAACTATGTACCGTCTAGAACAATTTGGCTTACAACTTTATGGTACGGCAAATTGTTGCTGTTGGTCCTGCCGCTAGTGTTCGGTGCGACATCAAAGCGAGTGCCTGCGATATCTTATCGCTCGCTGTCACTTGCCCTGTTACGCCCATATATCTCCACAAACAGCTGATCGCACTAATGCGCCGTGGTATAAAGCGAAATGCGATTAGGATGTACGTGCTGGTGCCCGATAGGGTATTGATCCAAGCTTTAAAGGGCTATATTCGCCCGTTAGAAAAGGTGCTCGCTGGGCGTGGGCCGAATGACGCAGAACACGCCGAGTGCCAGCGGTGTTCCGTCTCCTCTGGACCGGCCGCGACTTGTGATACTGACGATGGTGACCGGCGGTGTCCCGTCTCCTCTGGACCGGCCGCGACCTTGATAGTGACAGTGGTGATCAGAGGTGCTCCGTTTCCTCTGGACCGGCCGTGACTTGTGATAGTGACGATGGTGACCAGAGGTGCTCCATTTCCTCTGGATCGGCCGTGACTTGTGGTAGTCACAGTGGTAACCAGCGGTGTCCCGTCTCCTCTTGACCGGCCGTGACACGTAGCAGGCTCGCCAGCCCCACCGCCTAGCCGTGTATTTTCACATGGCGACCCGCGGGTAGACCTGCTTGGTGCAGATTAGGATGTTGAGAAGCTTATGACTTGAGAATGACACGGGCATATGGCATGCTGGGAGGACCGCGCCGACTATTGCTGCACGGTAAGCTTTCGCTGCAAAATTCTAGTTGACTCGGAATTGCACGATCGAGTGGCGAGGCCAGGGTTCACGCAACAAGCACTGAGTAGCATGGAGCCTGACCCCAGAAATCCACCGAATCACAATGTTCGGGCGGAATGAATAGAGACAAGCATTGCGGCCGTCGGCGAGTGCTGCCAGCCGATGTAGGCTGGGTGGGGCGGGCGGGGCCGCTCCTGCCTTCTCCACCGCCGACTGGCTGAGACAGGTGCGCTCCGGAACGGCCGGTGGGCGCAGCACGGGCGCAGACCGAGACGCCAGTTGGACAGGCCGACGTCGAGTACTGGCAGCGGCGCCGTGTTCGCCGGTTGACGATTGGGATCTCGGGAAAAGCCGCTGCAGGTCCTGTTCGGCCGCCGCGTAGTTCTCGGCTGCTGGTGCGGTTTATTTGACGGACGTGGTTAGCAGTTTGTGGCGAGGCTTTCCGTCGGTGCTTTCTGGACCTGCTGGACTACCGGCGTACCGGGGCCACGAGGGTCGCGAACACAAATCATAAACGATTCCGACACTGCAGTAATTACGCTGACAACGCCGAGGACCACTAATCATAGGTTTGAAGTTGGAGCTGCGAGTGTCCGACGAGCCCCAGTCGTCTACTGCTCCGAGCCCTTGATCCGGGTTCTTGATCTGCAGCTTGATTGGCGTGTATGCCTCTCAAGCTGAGTACGTTAGAAGTTCAGCACGTTTCTGAGCTCGGGCTCATCTCGATTGGCCTCAGGCACTGTCTTAACACAGCCTCGAGGGGGAAGGGGGAGGGATGTAGACTGCTGCGTTACACCGCCGCCGCCTCGATCTGCTGCGCTGTCACCGACACGAACCAGCTCCCCGCTCAGAATATGGAACAGTCAACAGACTATACAACGGATGACTCGAATATACAACAGGTCACCGTTTCCCCGACACGGAATACGCTTCGCCACGCACTGGCGGCCCACTGACCAGCCGCACCAGCGCTGACTGAGCCAGGACCCGCCCCCGCGGGTGGCCGCGCTCTCGCCCGCGCGCCATGTGCTATCGGGTTTGTGGTATTTCGTGTGTCACGTTCGATTGCATTTTTGACTTCGGGTGGGATGTTTTGTCCGTCGCATCCGGCATTAGTTCCACTTTCGGATTAAACGGCTTTGTTCGAGCGTGCCGGCCGAGTTTCAGCGAGTTTCGGCCGAGCGCTTGCGTTGGAGCGTGAGGGAAAGATGAAGTCTCAGGGTGTGTTAATGAGCTCGCCTGACGAGAACATCGGGCTATTAACCGTTTTAGGGGCTGAACAGGGAGTGTTTTAATTGCACCCCTTCGCCGCCATAGGTCCTCTTCGAACAGGTGTTTCGTGCATATGCCAAGTCGTGAGACATGTGCTCATACGTGCTATAAATCTTGAGAACTGTCCCAGTGGACAACTTTCATTACGGATAAATCCGGGCAGCGCCCGCCTGGAATGATGGCCAGCGCGCGGGGATGCCTTGGCAATTGCTACTCGGAAAATCAGATCAGATCAAGCTTTGTTTACCTTTTACCGGGCGGACCGCGCTGCGCTGCGGCGCACACCTCTGGCACGTTTCCAAAGCCAGCCAGACCGGAGCGCCCCGGCGCAATTTCCTCGCTGGAGAACTTTCTGACGAGTGGCGAAATGGACGTTGTGTGTGCATTTCGTCACTCGTCGGAAAGTATTCCAGCGAAAGTACTTCAGAAAGTGTTTCTGGCAGCGCCCCAGTGCCGGGCTGCCAGAGAGGTTTGCCGGGCTGCCAGAGAGGTTTGCCGGTGCTGCCAGAGAGGTTCGCCGGGCTGCCAGAGAGGTTTGCGGGCGTTACGCGGCCCGGCGGTGGACCTGACATCAGCGTTCGACGCGCCCCGAAGCTCTCTATGTCGAGCGGCACTCGCAGGTGAAGCGTGCCCGATGCCGGGCCTTCATCAGCGCATCGGCGGCGCCGCCCACGCGGGCCGAGAGCGAGATCTGGGCGCCAGCTGGGCAGCCGGGGCGGGCGGGGCCGCCGCCGGATCTGGGGCGGCGGTGGCGGCGCCGGACCGGGCGTCGGGACAGCCGTTTGTGGCGTTCGGGGGGCCGTTTGCGGCCGGTTTGGTCTCGGAGCGGCATCCGGACCGCCAGTGCCACGCCCGTCACAGACTCTGACGTCATGTGGTGCCCATCCGCTGATTGGCGGCGGTGCGTGATCGCGTGGGTCAGCGTCAGCCGGCCCAAATGAACAGTCACGTGCGGGGGCGCTTAGGAGAGAAGAAAAACGAATGCGAATGCGGGCCGCTGTAGTAATTTTCGTCGCGGGATACAAGCGTATCTCGTAAAGCGGCACTATGGAAGCACATCGCTGCGGCGGCGAATCTCGGCCTGGACCCAACCCGTGGTGCTGGCAAGTGCAAAAACGACCTTCAGCTCCCGCGCCATGGTGACGGCTCGCGTTCGAGCCCGCCCCGTCGGCGCTCTCGGCGTGGGCGCCGCCGATTCCCAGGTGGCGGCGGCGCGCGCTCGTGCGAGGCGTGAATGCTTCGTGACGTTCCCACGCCTCACCGTGACGGACAGGTACACCCGCCGCGCGTCTCGTGACGGGGGTCTGGCGATCTGAAGCTCGGGGCCAGGCGGGGTGTTCGGTGCTTTGCGATCGAGGGACGCAGCGTCCAAAGGTCAGGGTAATCAGCCAATTTACTTTGATTTTGAGCTGATCAAACGCGCGTTTTTGCAGCCACTTCTGTGTCAATGGTGTTCGTGAGGCCACTCACGCACTGAAAGTTAGCACGGCGTTTTTCGAAGTCGATGTTATTAGTGGAGAGGCGGGCTCGCCCCCAACAGCACGGAATAGAAACCAAAGTTGTTTTTGTGACACCAAAACAACTCATCGAAGCGCGCGACGATTCGGCTACGGTTTTCACAAACCGTGGTTGTGCTGAAAGTGTAATGTTTAAGTTGCGCGTCGAGCAGCCAAAGGTACGCAGTTCGCTTCTCCGCGGTCTTCACCTGCTCTGCCAGGGTGAGGGGCGAGTGACGCCATATGGCCTCAGCAGCGTTGTGAGTGCGTCGTGAAGCCACAATGACCAATCACAGACCGCGGAGTGCCTGGGACAGATATCTACCTCGTATCTGTAGTACGCGCCGGGGCATTTGGCGGCGATCGGCACGTGAAATTGGAGTCCAAGCACCTGGGGATAGGTTTCTCAGTAGCTATTGCGGCGCTGGGATGTTCGGGGAAGGTGTCCGGCGCGGCCCATGTCTTATGCACGTG